CGCAGATGACTGGGAGGGGTTCAAGACTTCAGTGGAGGAAGGAGCCGCAGATGTGGCAGAAATGGCGAGAGAACTAGGATTAGAAGTGGAGCGTGAAGATGGGACTGAATTGCCGCAGTCCCGTGATAAAACCTGAACAGGTGAGGTGTTGCTTCTTAGGGATGAACAAAGAAAAGTGTTTCCTGAGATGGAATCTACTCCCGGCGAGGATGCTATGAGCATTGTCAAAATGCCAACAGGATTTAGACTATCATATAAACTTAGTCGGTAAACCAGAGGCAGGGTTTGAGAGGATTGACTCCAATTTTGAAAGAAGTTCTACTGTGGAACTGGGCATGGTGGCTCATGCCTATAATCCCAACACTCTGGGAGGCAGAGAGAGAAGGATCACTTGAGGCCAGGAGTTCAAGACCAGCCTGGGCAACATAGTGAGACTCCATCTCCACAAAAAAAAGAAAGAAAGAAAGAAAGAAAGAAAAAGATAGTTCTATTGTGGGTAAAATGTTACCAAACAGCATCGCATGCTATAGAGAAATCTTTCATGAAAGGAACAGTCGATGCAGCACATTTCACTGTTGTCTTATTTTTAAAAATTGCCACAGCCACCCCGACCTTCCGCAACCCCCACCCCGATCAGTCAGCAGCCATCAGCACTGAAGCAAGAACCTTCCTCCGGCAAAGAACATTACAACGCGATGAAGGTTCCGGTAGATGATTGTTAACATTTTTAAGCCATAAAGTATTTTTTAATTAAGGTATGCACTTTGCTTCTTTAGTCATAATGCTATTGTCCACTGAATAGACTACTCTCCCGCGCAGTGTAAACATAACTCTTATGTGCACTTGGAAACCAGCATGTTCACGTGACTTGCTTTATCGCGGTGTCCTGGAACTGAACCTGCAACGTCTCTGAGATATTCCCGTACACGTGGACACGCCTGCACCTCCCATCGTATTGGTTTTTCTCTGGAGAACCCTGAGTCATATACTCTCCCACTAGGTAAAGTGAAGTAGGTGTGACGCAATGTGCATGTGTGGAAAGTTCCAATCCAATGCTGACTCCCTTTCTGCTCCTCGTGCCTATCTTTGGGTGAATCACTCCATCTCTTAAAATTTTAAAGTCCTC